ATTTGATTGTGTTTATCTGCAGTTAGTTACACGAATTCAGATATGGAACTTTAATAAGTTGTACCTACGCACAATTTACTTGTAATTTAAGTAATATGGATTAATAAACAGTACTTTACGAATAAAAAGTGGTTTTTAAGAATTTTTGTCAAATGATTTATAATATAGAATATATATTTTTATATATAATTTAATTTAAGTTTAATAATAAAAACAATTTATTTTTGATTTAATATTATAAATTTTATAAAGATAATAATTAAGTATTCTGTTAGAACTCAATGATTATCCTAATTATATTTTAGATTTTTTATATTTAAAATGAGATGTTTATCTTGTATTTGATTGTGTTTATCTGCAGTTAGTTACACGAATTCAGATATGAGATGAAATCGGATAGGGATGAAATCGTTTAAGAATGAACGAGTTTAAGAGTTTTTAAGAGTTTTAATCAAATGTTTTATAAGATAGTATATATATTTTATATAATCTCTTAAAATCAACTTTCAAAACATTATGTACTAATAGCTAATGTTAAATTACTTAATTTTCAATGTTATAAATTCTCAATGCTTTTTGGGTACAACCTATTAAACATATCTCTTCATCCCTAATTTATCAACTTTTAACAGATCCTCAGATTTATCAGCTTCACCCATGTCTTTCTATTACTCGATTGTTTCATCCATATCCTTTCGTCTATCTAGTTCAACAGATTTAGATAACCTCCATCAGGCGAATTGTTTCATCCATATCCTTCTATCGATTTAAACAGGTTTAGATTACCTCCATCAGGCAATAATTCAACAGATTTAGACGGATATACATATTGTTTTTCATTTCTATCACATCCTCTACTCATATATATTCGAAGCAGGTGCTTCATGATACAAAAAATTTCCAAGCTAAACATATCATGATGAACTTCAAATTCAAGAAAAGTAAAAACAGATTTCTGGTTGAAACCCTACAAATCATGATATACCTAAAAAAAGTAAAAACAAAGTTCAATGCGGGCATGAACTTCATATCACAGTTTCAATTGAAACCCTACAAATCTTGATATACCCAAAAACCTAATGAATCAAAGCTCTAAGTAGAACAAATTTCTACAAAAACCTAATGAATCAAACTTAGTGGATAGCCTTTTCTTCTAGGGAATTAAGACTAGAGAAAAGTAGAAGAAACTTGAGCATAAATTGAGAGAGAGAGAGAGAGAGTTCATATCATGTTTGTTTGGTTGTGGTGGTAAAGAATCGTCGGAGAAAGAACCGTCGTGGAAGGAACTGTCGTGGGAAGGAATTGCTGTAGAACGACAACTGTTGAAGGAACGCTGGAGAACGACCACCGGAAGGAATCGGCTTGTCAACGGTTGATCAAATTTGATAGATTCTTCTTCTGAAACAAGAAGTTCTGGCCCCGAAGGGATAATATCAACCACTTAACGCCCATCCACAAAATTCCCAACTAATAGTAAAATTATCAACTAATCAGAATGCGGTATTTATCATGCATTTTTAGGACCTGAGACACTTGAAGCCGGCCTTGGAGGAGAAAACGTGGAGGAGGGAGACCGAACATGAGAGGAGAAAGTATGAAAGGGCAAAATGTGGAAGAATGAGACTCTGAATGGTTTTGCTTAGCCCTAGATACAAATTCGTTCAGACTTTAAAGTATTTTGGGACCATTAAGTGGTTTTAATTTCTTTGCTAAACAATACGCATCTTTACACGATTCAGAGACTTCCTCTTAATGATATCATTAAGATGCAAACAAACATCCCCTTAATAATTGTGATGTCTTATCATAAATTTTAAAATAAAACAAAAGTTTGCATTCAATTATCCAAAATAGTAATTAGAACAAAATATATTTCAATTTAAAAAAAAAATCCACATATAATTTTACTTTACAACAACAACAAAAAAACCAAACTTGGTCATGTTTAATTTATATATTTTGGCATAGTGGGCCCCAGTGTGGCTCGTTATTAGCCCAGCGTCCCTGATAAAATAAAGTTGATTTCAAAATATTCAATGGGCAGTAGCACGGACCCCGCTAGGTTCTTAGTTAGGGATTGTTTACCAAACTCTTATTGGGTAAGCACTAACTGGATTTCACTAATCTTACCGGGTGATCAAGGCAAGGACTAGTATGTTATCATTAAAAGACATAACAAGGACCGGGAATCTTATTGGGTAACATTCTCACCCATCAAAATGGATTGTTGATAAACATCTTTTACCAGCAAGCGCTTACCTATTAAGCATTTGGTAAACGGCGTCTAAATCCGCCTCTGATTCCAAACTTGGTCTCATATCGGTGCAGGAGAAATAGATTTACCTACCAAAACCTGAAATAATATTCATGCCCCAAAAAACCATCATAATACAACTTACAGAAACATTTTAAGTTAACTTTACAAAAAAAAAAAAAAGCCAAATCAAACAAACCCAGTAAAACTCACATGCATGCATTTAACTTTACAGTTTACAAGAATGGTAGTAAAATCACACAACTTGTTTTCATGCTACATCATATCCAGCCTTCAAAACGAAGGGCAAAAAAGATATCGGAAGTCTGAGGAAACATCGCATGAACATTCGTTCTTTATGAAACGGCTTTCTCATAAACGAAGAAAGACATACTATTAGTCATCGACTACAAACTACACGAACTTGGTGTCGTTGTCGTCTACCCTGCCATATCTTCGCTCTTCACGTCCCCACCATGCCTGACGAACAAAATTTACCATTTCAGCTTCAGACTTGCTGTTTGCGAGCCGAAGACTAGCATGGCTTAGTGAGCTTAAATGAGCCCTAGCATTAAGAAGCCGTTCACCCGAAACTTACAGGGTAAGCACTTACCGAGTCGATTAGCTTGACCAAGAATCTCACCCTATAAGAGGGAAGACAAGGATCAAGTCTTACCCTGTATATAGGGTGGTGACTCTTACCTAATCAGGTAATTGAAGGTGGTGACTCTTGATGGTAATCGCTTACCCGGTAAGTGCTTGGTAAACGACCCCTGAGTCGTCACCGCTAAGGCTCAAGCTTTTCAGAGAACCCAAGCCTACCAACTCTTTCACAAGCTGAGCAGGCTCGGTTCTGACCCACTCAAATATACACATGATTTATGTTATGGAATAACTGGAGAATGTATTATGTTCTATAGAAGAATTGAGCTTCTTGATGGGCTGAGAACATTCTTTAATCAAAGACGCCAATGCCCATATCAGGATTAGACCTAGACCAAGGAAGAAGGACGGAGTGTCGTTGCTCAGCCATATTTGACCTTTTTGAGGTTAAATCATATGGAGTAACACCCCCAAAAAAATTATACTCCAAACGTAATAATAGCATCCCAAGATCTAAATAATGCGTCAAAGTGGAACATTTCAAAATAATAAAGTTTAAAATACGCTATAGCAACGTTCACATATAAAAAGTCTCGAACAATGCTCCTTGGTCCACCTTTGTTCTTCACTTCTTCTGAATCCGTGTTCTAGGCCTTCCCCTTGCTACTACTTCCGAGCATGTGATTGACCCGGGTTGCATATTTATTTTGGAAAGAATTTGAGTGAGCCTAGGGCCAGGTGAATTCATGGCTTCATGTATGTACGATTTCAATAAATAGATATCACAAAGCTTCATAAATTTCACATGCATTTGACAAAAATAACACTTTCATTGAGGGTGTCTACCTCACACAGCTTTACCTAGCAAACCCACATAGTACGTCTCTCTTCCGGCTTAAATTCAGCAACCAGGCAAGCTCACACAACATTCAAGCATAAAGAGCGAACAAACTATGTGAGTTTGCCGGGTAAGCCCGAGTGACGGAGACACACTCCATAACCAGGCAAGCCAAACCATTGTTTATAAAGCTTTGAGATTATTATTTACTGAAAATGTAAATGCATGAAAAACGTGAATTCCCTAGGCCCTTGGCTCATCCAAATCCTTTTCAAAATAAATATGCAAACACAAGTCGTCACATGCTTGAAAGTAGGAGCAAGGGGAAGGAGAAGGCTTAGAACACGGATTCAAAAGAACTAAGGCAAACATAGAAGCGTTGTCCGAGACGTTTTATAAGTAAACAATGGTTTAGCATATGTTAAACTTTATTAAGTTTCCATCATTTAGATCTTGGGATGTTATAATTACATTTGGAGCATTAAAAATATTGGCGGTGTTACATATGGAAATGGAGGGAGTAAATAAGACATAGGTTTTCAAGCATTATAACTCACTCACTCAAATAGAAGGAAGCATACGAAAAAAATGGTAACGTAAATCAAGACACAATGAAAGTTACCCAACGAACACCCCCATTCTGAACTATAAGAGCAATTCCTTGTAGATTAGAAAACAAAAGCTTTTATATGTCGGAATGGGGGTGGTGGATAATTGTTTATAAGGGTTAAGAACACAAACCGCCAAGAGCTGGTCAAATTCCGGGCCTTTCTATCCAACTGAAGATTTTCCAAGGCAGTGGAGGCACTAGTAATATCCTCCGATATATCATCATTTTCATTTCTCCAACTGTAATCATCTTTCCTGTAGCTAGAGTTTGAGGACCCTCCTCTTCGATCTGAATAATTGAACACGCAACAAAAACCACTACGAGTGACTGAATGCTAAAAAGATGATATAAATATTTTTTTATTCTTTTCACCCTTTTTGTTGTTGGAATGTTAAAGCTACGTTCGTAATTCATTAGGCAATACACATGGTGTTGGATACAAATTCAAGATCTCAGTATTAGCTTTGAGCAAATTACAATCGGAATCTTAGCAAAAAGGAATTGTAATGCTTACCAGATGATTGGGAACCAGGACCTTGTCTAGCATAAGGAAAACAAAGAAGTGTTGTTAATAATAAACGGAATAAGACAATAAGGTAAAAGTAATGAGTAAACAAGCACCTTCCCAAAGGAGGTAATCCCCCAGCAACAGATGACGGAGATGCCCTTCGATTTCGAGAATCTGGATTTCCACTACCTCTTCCTTGAGATTGATTCTGCAAGCAAACATAAACATTTAGTATGACGGCAATTATTACGTCATTTAGATATCCCGTAATTCCTCTAAACATATCTAGTCAAGCTTTGAAACTAAACATTTAGCAGTCGGGAAAAGAGTATAAGACCTCAAATTTCAAGAACCCTTCAAGTACATCCAACAGCAACGGACCGCTGTCTCCATTCCTGTTTATATCATATCCATTCTTATTGCTGAAATCTCTTAACTCGGCTTTCCACGCATCCTTTTGCTGCAATAGCAGGTTTACTCCAGATTAAAAAGAACTGTTTGAACAAAACTTCAAAGAACAATGTATATAGCAGTAGTGAACAATAATGCAAATAAATTACCAAATTACATTCCGGCAAATACACTTTTAGCGTGTGGCCAAGCTGTGCCCAATCCAAGTATTCACATACTAGTGCAGTTAGAAGCCGGCCTGAAAACAAATCAAAATAAAATCGCAAAATACACCAGGCTGAATGACTGATCAGTAAATGACAATGAATGTACCCTCCACGCTAATAAACCAGATATCTGTGCCCAGACAGAGACTTGACGAAATGAGAACCACATAACCTTAATTTTTTAAGTTCTGCGAAAAACCTGGTGCTCTTATTAAACAATATTCCCTCCGTCTTAAACAAATGTAAGACTAGCCATATAGTTTAATTGAGGTGTTAATACCATTCAATATTGACAAATTTAGTCAAAATCAATGATCAATATTTTGTAACGAGACAGAGAGCTAAGTTTGAATTAAATTTTGCCAAAAAGGAAAATGTTTCCTTGATTTGGAACATCCCGAAAAGGAAATTATTGCCACCATTTTGGAACAGAGGGGGTATAAAGTAGATTACATATCAAGGGGATTCGAGAACCACATATGATAATTAACAACGAGCCTGAAAGAAACTCTAATAACCAAAAAGTACTACCACGGCTCATAGGACATGTATTGTATCCCTTGAAACTTACATCCAGGCTTTAATCGAAAGCATAGGAGCCACACAAAGTCACAAACACCAATTACTGAGATATATGTTAACGAACATTATATAATTGTCAAATATACCTGAAGGGGAAGCATGAAGTTGTTTTGCGTGATCATTGCAGCTACCCAGCAGTGCAGGAGGCAGGCCTTCATCTTTTTCAATTGCCTTGTCCTCTTCCTCGATTGCCTCAAATACGCTTGCTCTGAGCTCGGCCTTTCACCAATAGCATAAGTAATTAACAATGCATGATCAAGTTGATCAGGAAAGAAAATATAGAAGTGAAAAATTAAAACTTGATAGCTAGAATCACCCAAAAAGAAAACAAAACTCCTGGATGATTAATCACGTACACTTACATAACTACCTTAATTTTCCAAACTCATGGCACTTTAATATCTTCGTAATTTGCATACCTTTCTACTCAGGAAATGTTCTGTTAGGTACTTCCCAATTTTGTGGTCAGATACACCTAGCAAATGTTTTTTCCATTTTCCTCAAATAAACAATACCCAAACAGATTAGAGTCTTTAATATGAATATAAGGACCTTCACATGGCCCGTGATCTTAATAACTATACATTCTGTTACCATTTCCATTTAAACAATCCATTAATCCAGCAAGTACAGGACTATAAATGGATCAATTTTTTTTATTTCCATTAGAAATTAGGAAAAATAGTGGTTGTTCTACTTCCAAACATGTACTTGATCATCAAAGATAAAAACTTGGTAGGTTGTGATCATTCACATTGACAATTCACCAATAAACGAACGCTTAGCAGCTAGAACAGTGATTCTATTATTTGCTAGAAAGTTCCCAATACCCAAAGTCCCAATCAAGAAAATATCCGTAGCCATTTTGAATCTTTTTACTGTAACATTTATGAAATCCTCTAGCATGCTACAACACACCTTCACTAAACACACAGGAAATGAGACATAGGTTTCATCCAATTTACAAAATACATATTTTCACTAGAGAAAGCCTCCTATTGAAGCTCAAAACTCTTACCACCCAACTGGGAAAATATACCTTAAACCCGAAAGCGCAATATTCATTGAATTCAAAATCTGAAGGATATTGAATAACCAAATGGGTATCTCAAGAAAATAGGAGTCCTGATAACTTGAAACATTGAAATATCTTCCCAACAAAAAGATCGCATCACTAGCAAACTCAAGACCCCAAAAACCAAGTTTAGGTCACAGGTTTGATATCACCTGAACACACTTATACACACAGCAAAAGCATCATTCTCTTCGATCACCTAAAGATTAAACACACACACAAAACAAAATACATAATACATAATACCCACCCGATCCAATCCGATAATCCTATGCGCCCCATTATAAGCGCAACAACATTTGAAGCAAATTCATCAAATACCCATATAATTGCAAGTATATGAGGAAAATGTAACCGAAATCCAAACGAATTTAAGAAGAAAAAGAAAACAATTAAGGGTATATGAATTTTACTCGGATCTTGGCGAGAACCCCTTTCTTTTCTAGGGTTCGAGTCACAAGGGTCTTGAGGTCCATCATTTCTCGGGTATAATCATCCATCCTACAGAATTTGCGTGTCGGTCTTCGTCTTCTTCAGTTGTGTTGTTGGACGTTGCAAGGAAACTTGCTTTTGGGGTTCTTTTTGAATTGTTTTTCGACTGTTTGTGTGGTAATTCGGGTATGCAAGGAAGTGAATCCGACAGTTGAAGGTTGAAACGGGTTGTGGTTTTCAGGGATTATAATCCGACACGAATTAAACGGGTTGTGTTTATGGTTTCGTTACCCCAACTCCAGAATATGGGTTATACTCTTCAGATCCAAATCATGGATTATATTTTAACAATTAAAAGGAACCGTAATCGTTTTTGTAAATCATCAATCAAGAGATTCGATTAAATTTAAGGATGCGTTTGGTACGCAAACAGTACATGATAGAATAGTACAACTGTTCAGTGTTTGGTAAGACATGATAGGACTGGACAGAACTGGTTAAAATGACCAATTTACCCCCAGTGAGCTGTTTAGTATTTTTTAACTAAATAATCAATATAAATATTAACAAATATGGTGTACAAAGTATAACTTACATCAAACCACGACTACTTGCAAAAATATATTTGCAAAAAAGCATGATTTCATAATCAACCAATGATATATGAAAAAGGTAAATATAATATAAGCATGAATAATCCATTATCGAAGCAAATCTATATACATTCCATACTAAGAAGAAAAAATTACTACCAACAAGCGCACAATCAATTAAAATGGGTTAAATATCAAATAGTAAATAAAATATAAGCATCAAGAAAAAAATTTGGCTAGTGATCCCATATAGTATCATCACATTCACAAAACTTGGATTCCAGAAAACAAAAAAATTCACCTATCACCTGTACAATCACTCATGTAAGATCAAAATCGAATATTTATTACTCTGATCAAGGGAAAACATACAAAACTCATCAAAAACAACAAATTGCATGCGTGAACCTTACGCAATACGTTTGACGGTGATAAAATCAAGAAAACAATTCATGTAATTTATTAAATTATAATAGAATAATTATTTTTTATAACAAAATATATCATTTGAAGTTTTCGTCAAAACATTTATAATGACACCAAAGAAAAAGTTTATGTGGTTTTCTATTTTTATTTTTATCTCTTTTCTACATTATTTTTTATTATTAATATATAATAAATTACATAAATTAATAAAAATATAGAAATCGTATAAAAATAATATTTTGAGAATAGTAAAATGAAATTTTAAGAAACATAAAATACAATAAATAAAATTTAAAGAATGAATAAAATGTAAAAGAGAGATCTATTTGATGTTTTATAAGAGAATTATGTTTTATTTTGAGGTTATATTGGTAAAAAATAAGTCTATTCCACCTTGTTCCACCCTGTTCCGTGGGGTAGGGGTGGAACATGCCTGTTCCACTGTGTTCCACATAAAATTCATGCCAAACATGAGACATAGATCCTTGTCTTGTTTTGTCATGTCCCTGTCCAGTGTACTAAACTTACCCTTAGAGATGTTTGATTGTTTTTATTAAGTTCTATAGGACTAAAGTTGTCTATGTAGATTAATCTGTCTTATATAGATTAAACAATTTTTTTAAACAGTTATTTCATAGATTGAAGAAGTGTCTTTTAATTGGAAGAGACATTGTTTAGGAAAATTTGGTTTTTTGTTTAAAGTTTTCCCATAAAAGCTTATTGAATAAGTTATTTTTTATATCATTAAGTCACTACCAAACAACGATAATATAGCTGACCAATTAAATTATAAGTTCAATTAAACTTATTAAATTACTAACAAACATGCATTTAAAATGATTATAAAAAAAATAAAAACCAATGCATGATGTTATCTCATTAGTCAACGAACCGTGTAAATTGGTTTAAATTAATTGTACATTTTAAGTTAAGGAATTTAAATGGTTGGTATATTAAAAGTAGAGAAGACCATTGTTTGTGAATGAAAATATGAACCACCGATTATCGGGCATTTAGATTTGTGAAATACACACTGAATTAACTTGACACGATGTAATTGCGGTGGTTTAGACGCTTTTTAATGGTGATCAGTTTGCTTATTTTGGTAGTATATCGTACAATACTTTTTTCATTAAAAAAATGCAATGTTTTTTTATTCTAAGTTGCTACTTTTCCTTTTTGTAGAAATATTTATTTTCAAATTTACATATTTTGATGAGTTGGTGTGAAATTAGTAATGTAGCTTCTATAGTGGTTGTAAATAGCTCGACAGATCCAATGAAATCCGTATTTGACTTTTATAAATCAACGATTGCATAATGGTGCACGAAACGTAAAAACAAACTATAATAAGCGGAAATATAATATCGTTTAGCACTTGTTTTTGGTTCCTGTGTGTAAAGAAAAATGTAACTATTATCTTATCACGTAAATCATTAAACAAATAACTATTGAACGAAATAAATATGTGTCTAAATCATTTGATTAGACTCTCATACATATATACATACATATATACATATTATATGTGTATATATATATATATATATATATATATATATAACGATATCAAAATAAATAAAATAGGATATTATGGTATGATTTGATTTGTTTAAAACATTCATTATATTAAATACAATTTATTTTATTGTTTTATTGCAACGGTGAAGAAAGATATGGTTTTGTTATTTTCATGTAATTAAAATTTCAATTTAAGCATATCAAATCATAAAACCATATCTTATTTTATTCAGAGTGAATAAAATAAGAAATAGTTTTATGATTTGATTTGTTTAAATTTAAATTTAAATTATGTTAAAGANACAATAAATAAAATAGGATATTACTCTATGATTTGATTTGTTTAATTTTTTTAAAAGATTAATTATTAAATACGATTTATTTTTATTGTTTTATCGTAGTGGTGAAAAAAGATATGGTTTTAATGCTTTAATGCAATTAAAAATTTAATTTTAAAAAATTTAATCATAAAATCGTATTTTATTTTATTTAAAGTGAATAAAATAAGACATGGTTTTATAATTTGATTTATTTAAAAATTTTCAAAAAAATATGTTAAAAACGATTTATTTTTCTTGTTCTTTTTCTATCATTGCGGTAAATAACTTATTGTCGATATTTTAACACCAAAATAATTGAAAAACACTAATAAATGAACTCTAATTTTATCATTCTAAAATTAGGGTTTTCATTTTTCATATTGTTTTTCATTCAAAAACTCGAAATCAATTATTTAAATTTTAACTAAATGAAAGATTCATTAAATGAAATATTCATACATACTCTCATCTTTATAATTTAAAATTAAACAAACCTCTATATAAAATTCAATATTATTTTCAACCGAAATTGACAAAATTACTATAACAAAAGAATTAAATTGTATTTAATTAATTATTTAATTTAAACAAATCAAATCATACAACAATATCTTATATTATTTATTGTGATATCGTTATATATGTATATATATATACACACACTTTTGTAACAATATTTTTAATGGAAAAAGACAAAAAAAAAAAGACAAAAGACTAAAATGACCCTTGATTTAACGGAGTTAACATAGATGCTAGTCAGAACGACCATAGCTAAAACAAATTGAATACCACAAGGACCAAATTCACAATAAACATACCGTTGGGACCTTAGTAAAAAGAACACCAAACCACATGGACCAAATCCACAATTCACTCTAATTATTAAAAAATTAATAGTTTTTAAGAAAAAATAAAACTCATTTTTTTATAATATAACATAGATTGATAAAAATAACATAACATCCCGATTTGAAACAAAAAAAACACATATATTCACATTTGTTTTGATATTGGGGTTCAAGAGCCCTTCTACCGCCACTAGATCCTTTGCGCCGATGTGATATCGAATCCTAACTCAGATTGCAAATTTTGCGTAAACTGGACAAACATCCATAATTTAGAAAAAGAAAAAGAAATTATTATCAAATACGAATATATATTTTTGTTTGTTGTTATGTTTTTAATAATTCAGTTTGTGTTAATATATGATTGCTTATCTAAAAAGAATGTATAAAGTAGTGTTGGTGGTGGGGTGAGCCATCATACTACGTGACATCCTTTTTATTTAACCATTGTCACCTCTCACTTTCAAGTACCACTTTCTCCTTATTTTTTGTCATATTACCACCTCAAATGCCACATTTTGTCTTCATTTGTTTCCCTTTTTGTTCTTCATTTATCTACTCTCTTTCATGTTAAAAAAAAAACGATTATCGAAAACTTAAAACGATTTTACGTAGAACTCGTCTCTAAAATCCAAATTAATGGAACATTTTGTTTCGCTTGGCGGTTGATGTTAACGGAAACCCACCTTATCTATATTATCTCAATTACATGATATAATTTTTCTTACAGATTCAAATACATTATTGAGATCGTCGTATTTTTCTCTATGCACCGACATAATTTTCATCATAAGTTGACATTCGGTTAAGTTGTTCTCCAATTCCTGCTTTCAGTATTTCGTTGGAAAATATAATCCTCGTATATCGTCACCCTAAAATATATCAATCATTTGACATTCCTAAAAATGAGAATTTACCAATTTATTCAACACTATCGACATGGTAAGCGATTGCTTTTTAAACCGGTTATCCAGGTACTTAAAAGTTGTGAAAATTTTATTTCTCGGATACTAAAATGAAGATTTGAAAATATGTTACTCAAAATAGGAATCAAGACAAAGTATGTTACATTTTCATGCAATTTGCCCTTTATAAATTTCTATACCACGTATAACCAAGATTCTATAGGCTGCGATATTTTTCAAGATGTGACTTATGACGACAAATTTTTATATTATATATATAGATAAACATATATTTTCTACTGTTACTCAACTAGTCAATGATATTAAATAATTTAAATTATATTATACATTAAAAACTAACAAATAAGACGTTAACAAAGTAAGAAAAATCAAATATTGAGTTACAAAAACGCATATTAAACCATGACATGTCACAAGTTTAACATGATATAAGACATAACGACAGCTATTGCTACAAACTTTTTAGAACACTGCATTGTTGCTAGACAGCTAAATTTGTGTAATGATTGAATAAATACATATATTACAAAGAATAACGAAAATGGGATTTTGGTCGATATTAATATATATTATTAACTTTAATTCCCTCATGAAACATGTTAAATTATTAATATATATTATTAAAATTCAAGCTTATCTT